GACTATCAGAATGGAGTCGTTTCTGTTGTCTATGCCACATTATTAAGGTTTGGTTTTCTGGTTGTGATGTCCCATCATCACAAATAGTTGGCTTTAGTGGGGTACTTTTATCCGTAGTAGTTTGTTCAACTTGCATAGTGAGCTGTGTTACTTCTGCATCAATCCAGTGATTCAGGGTTGTTTGTTCTGGTTGAATCTGTATTTCCTCTGATGTTTTCGGCAAAGATGCATTCACTTCATTTTCCTCTTGTGTAGGGGCATAATTCGGTGAAGAAATTTTGCTTGGTTTTTGTACGCTTTGTCTCAAGTTTATATTTTGAAGTCTAATCGGACAATCTATTTTAAAATGATCTATTGAGCCACATTGTTTGCATGTTTTTTTCTGTCCATAATACTTGACTGCTAGCATGTATCCGTCCACGAAAATATAACTTGGTATTGGGTGTTCTTGCAGTGATTTAGGCGATATTTTTACATTCATTGTTCCTTCTCCAATCCCATCTTTATCTTTAGATTTGTTAACGTCGGAGTCAAATTTTACATATTCAAGCAATGCTGCCTTTACCCTATTGGTGGTTAAATAGCCTGGTATCCATGAGATATTAACTTTAATCAATTCCGGCTCATACAAATGCCATTTAAGTATGGTATGTGGTTCATCTTCTAAAAAGGTTGCTAACTGTAATACTGCGGCTCTTGAGTTACATGTAATATCTACAGAGTTGTACGGCCTCACTGCAATTGTATTTACATGGATTTTGTTCAAGCATTTTAAAACAATACTTTTAGCAGCATTTCTAATTCCGTCTTCAAAATGGTCTTCTTTAGAAAATTGGATATGTAAACAATGTGGTCTTCGAATTTCTCTAACCCTTTTATCTCTCTGCGGTGGAATATTACCGGAACGCCTATTTAAAATCTCAGAGTACGAAGCGGCCATGTCTCGACGTAACGTAACGGCATTGACGTAATAAAGCGAGGCAACTAAACGTGGGAGAATTAGCGCCACCTAACTTGTCATAAAATTACATCTTTTTTTGGTCTGCTAAATTGGCTGTCCATACCTATTTCATAGCATCTACAATTTCATCCTAATTTATTTAATTTAGGCTGGACTATATCTACAATGCGCTTTTATACTGTTTTCTATATGTTATCTAACACACTGGTTCCCCAACCTTTTTATCGTGGCGGACCGGTAAAATTAAATAAAATGTACTCGCGGACCGGCAAAAATTGAAATGAGTAGAACTGAAAATAATAACATATATTTGCGTAATAAAACAATCTTGCTGGATGTCAAGGCGAAGCTCTGGAATATTAAACTGTTCTTTACTGGTTTCGGGTTTAAACACAGAATTATTTATAACCTTTTATTTGGATGGTAATAATAATCAAGAAAAGAATACAGAACGGAAAGATTACGCATGCTGATTTTCAAGTAGGCCTATTAGAATCTTGCGAGGTTTGACGGAGCGCTTTCGCGATGAGTCGGAACCGAAAAAGCGAAAATTGTGATTACCTGCTCCCAAGACGTCACCGGGCCATTAACATCGCACTTATCAAACAGTAATATGATGGTGGAAAAAAAATTGTGTATTTAATGAAACAACGTGACTTCTTCGTCTTTTCGGCTTCGATAAATTGATTTAAGCGACAGCAAAAGAACAAATCGAAATTTCTCGCGGACCGGCGGTTGGGAACACTGATCTAACATGTCGTGAGTTCGCGCTTAAACATATTCATTCGCTTCGATATTGTATTTGGTTCATTTTCAGTTTATAAATTTCAGAGTTTTGAGAATGTATATGGAGTGAATGTCTCAGATTTTTCTATTAACTGACGTACTCATTCAGCTCAACAAGTCAGCACTTTAAATTATTTGTCTAACTGTAAAGTCAATTTTATACTCTATTTAATATGAACATAACACGTTTAAATCTAAACAATACTATTCTCAATGCGAGATATTGGGAAACATATTTGAACAATTAAAGTTCCCCGTTTCCTAGTAATACTGATAATGATTTGTTGTTTGTCAATCTCATGCGTCTTAATCTTGAATCAATCGTGTCAATCACCGATTTGTTTTTGAATAACTTCGAACTGTTTTAACCTTCAGTAAGAAATTAGATCTCGTACGACGCCATTTTTTTGTTTTGATGAAATTGAAACCTATTTAAAGACTGATAACATGCATATAATAATAAAATGCAAATAAACGAAACTTAAATTTTGAAGGATGAAAATGGCAATGGAGAAAAATGAAATTGCTCATGTTAGCAAATGCTTGACAGAAGTAAATTCATGTTTCTGTGTATAATAGATAGGCTGTCTTAATTATGAAAATATTGAAAAAAAAACTTTTATTTATTCTTTATAATAACTAAATTGGCTCAAGTTTTTGAACTTACTTTGGTCACGCGAACACACATATAACATTCCTATCCAAACGCTATTACGGCGTAAATATGGTTTATAGTAGTAATATGATATACAAATAACACAATATTAAATTTAATAGTAGGCCCTTGGGCATATGTGTATTCTTCGTTGGTATCACGCAACCAATGATATATATCTGAAAAGACTGTTGAGGTATTTTTTGCAAGTCTCGAATATTCCAAATAAACACACATAAGAAGAGATGAATGAAGTAGTATAGTATAAATAATTGAGTCAAACAATGGTTATAGCAATGCTGTTTAAAGTCATTAAGAAAGTAATAAGACAGAAGTGAATGATTTAGTTTAGAAGTTCCAAACTTGAAACCGTACAGAGAGCATTGAGAATGTAGCTAATCTCTCGTTGTCACAGCGACAAAAGATAGACAATCTCTTAAATGCACATTCAAAACTTAACTGATAATGGACTTATCTTGTTTTTTACTCCTTAAACCATTAACGTAAACATTAGATCAATAATAAGGTGAACTTATTTACACTGAAGCAAATAGGAAATTTCTTCTTGACTTTTTTTTGTAAGATTTCGATGCGGATCAAGTATATTGCTAGACAATTTTTTAAACTGTTCCACGACCAGCATATCCACCAATTCCCAGGCAAATATGCATTCACTTATAACGAATAACGGGATCGTCCCACATTTCCGGTTAACGGCAATGTAATGTTATTTTAGCACGAGTTTTGGACACCACATATTGTTCGAACAATATATATGAACGATGGTGGTACGTCAGAAGTCCACGCATCAAATTGTATACGTTTCTGTTTCAAAACACGTAGTGACGTATATGGCGGATTTCGAGAAGAACGACAAATTGAATATTCGCCCATATTTGCACGAATACGTGCTAAAAGGGGTGTTTTGCATATAAACCCATTTTACTTCTTCCCATATATTGCATATGTTTAGATACGCAAACGGTTTCAATTAAGATAGAAATACACACCGCGACAGCTACAAAAATGAACGTTTGTATAAAACGGATGATTGGATGAAAAACTTTAATAGCATAAGCCTTAAAAGTGTATCCTAATTTTTATAATTTTTTACAATGAGAAAAGAATAATAAAATCTTTTGAATGGCGTAATCAAGCAAGAATTAGTCATAGGTTATCATAACATAACTTTGTCCTTACATCAATCATCTAGAGCAGTTTACATACACAAGTTTAAAAATAAAGTGAAGGCTCACGAGATAATTACCAAACGAGAATATGATCATTACGTTATATGAAAACCACTTTTATTTAAAGCGCTCACATATCGGTATCACAAACCGAAACGATACACTATCATTTACAAGGCTACCTGAGGCCAACTTCCGGTTAAATTTGGTATCGATTTCAATCTAGACAACTTCCGTCTTCCGCTTTATATAAAAAAAATATGCCCGCATGTTTTATTCTGTAGTTTCGCTTAGAAACGATTGGTCAGCTTTTTATGCGTTGTTGTTATCTCCTAGTTGAGCATATTTTTAATGAGAGCGCAGTCACAATTTGAAATTTCTGTTATGACAGATGTCGGGAATCATTCTTGACATGTTTCAATGACGTCCCGAATTTAGAGTTACATCAAAATGCGTGCCCTTTTTGACGAAATATGGCAGACGACATTTGTAAGTTGGGAGCATAAAAAGTGTCTTCAAACGATATTTCAGAACTAGTAAGTGAAAACAATGCGAAATAACGTTTTAGCCTAATTGTCGCCCAATGACATTTAAGTGGTGGTGATCAAAACAAGACCTGCTGAATCTGATCATTTAATTGTGAAAGTTTATACCTAAGTAGGCTAAAATTCAAATTCAATCTTTGTTGAAGAGACGCACGATGATACTTTAAAAGCTTTCTTTAGAGTGATATTTTATCAAATTATTTTATCGCTAAGATTTAAACAAAATGGCGTCTTTTGTCGCTATACCATTGCGAACAATTTACAGCGACTTTCACTACTATAAGATTCTTTGAAGAAATTACACTACAATTTAAAATGGTCACAACCTAAGGCTTATTTCACATGCATGTTTATATGGGATAGTATTTGCTTAGGCAGACAAGTGACATGTCGATGGATATGCGATTATATATATTGAGGGTCAAGTAACATGATCAATTTCTCAGAAAACAAATTCGGATGATTCAGGCGAAAAAATATTTTTGATTTTTCCATCGCGTTACTCATTATTTTTCTGTTTATGGTTGAAACAATAGAACAAGGTTTTTCGCTAATCACTTTCATATAATCTGTAAACTTAAGTCCCAGAAAAAAACTGAAAAAGGGCAAATTCCGATGATTTTGATGAATATAAGATTCGCCACCGCTCACTGCGTGTCATATAGCGAACCACCACCGCGGAAGCCTCATGACGCACGTTTAATCGGAATTATCAATTTCATCCGTCTTGTTAGTAAATGTTATGAAAGATTTTGGTGTTGAACTTCAGGTAGTGTTGTATCGTAGTAGACAATAACGAGGATTCGGAGCCATTCACTCTAAAACTTTTGTTTCCAATAATAACTTTGGAATGCTCCTGTTTCAGGTTATAGTTTTACATTTACAATTAAATTAAATCACAATGAATCAAATAGTTTTATTGGTTTTTGTCGCTATTTTACCGGTAGTTTTATGTCAAGATGATGGAATGTTTCTCTGCAAGAGGCTTGACTCTAACTTCAAAATGGTTGTACCAGGTTCAGGACGAACCCAAAATAACAATAATAAAAACAGAAACAACATCAACAAAGATCGAGTCACTCGAGTCAATGGAAACGGAAGACCTAAACCCGGTCCAAACATTTCTAAAGGAAGGCCCAAGCCATCACCCGTTGAAAGTTTGGATGACAAAATTGAAGAAAGACTGAAAGCACTTGAAGGTATGATATTTTGGTATTGCTTTATAATAGACTAGAATAAAACAAAAGATTGCTCCTGCTTGATACTACAGTCTTGAATTTTTGATTATTTAATTCTCAGAAATCTTTTATATATTTTATTATAAGAAACGAGACACGATAAATAATTGTATGATATAATTTACTGACATATCTGTTTAACGAAATTACAAATCCGATTCAGCAAGTCTCACCCACCCACGTGAATTCCAGTCCCAAGATGGTAACACACCCAAATCAACACGCCTTCGTAATAATGATAGCATGCGTGGGAGCTTTTATCAGTATAATCTTTATATATGTATGTTATATTTTTTGCAGACAGAATTGAGTTTTTGGAATCGATAACCGAAGTCTCAGATAGAAAAGACGACGGTAAGCCATATATATATTATATCCTAACCCGTTCAAACAACTCAACTCAGGCTTACGGCATTACTTGAGTTGGGCAGTTTGGTAACTTACCGGCACATCCTATTTATCATTCCCACCATACCTATAGCCAAGAGGCGACGAAGGTAAAAAAAACTTTCGCTAACCACCAGAGCATCCAGAAATATTACAGGAAACTACGCTTAATTGTTAAAACAGATTTTTATTCCTGTTCACGTTTATTTGCCAATTATGTTTAACCTTTCACACCAAAGTCATTTCAGTTGAATCTTTTTATATATAAAAGTTGTAATAAGATATTTCATGAAATGTTATGATGTAAACTTGATTGTTTATTTACGCGTATATAGTAAATTCTTTAATCTTTGAAACTGCGGTTTTAATATTTCGACGCCGGCGCCGGTATCATTACTGTCTTTAACACATAACAAATAAACGAATAGTATACAGACTAACTAGCCTTAATCGGGAATAGCCAGCAATCAAAAATGATGCAACATTGGTTCTCTTCTGGTTAAGATTTTTATGTCATCAAGTATATGAGAATTAAAGTAAATAAAACTAGAAAAAATGTTCTAACAGAATATTTGCTTTTTGATTTGCACAGCATGTTAAGTTAAAAAACAATTTGATATATATGTCATGTGAAAAATTTTAGTATATATTACCAAAATTACTTTTGGCAAAAGATTCTCTGTGCAATGGAATTATGATTTTTGACCATACATCATTGGGAAATTTTTCATGATACATCCGTGCATTAAATTATGTGGCAATTATGACATAATTTCCACCCACCTACCATCATTGGTATTAAGTAATGCAAGATAAAAGCATTATTCATTGTCTTCAAACTATATTAAAATATTTGGTGCATTGCTCATATTCGTTAAGTAGAAACATAAAACCAAACTTGTGATTCAATGTCATAAATGCATGATTCACTGTAAATTCTGGCATATTCCACTAACCCAATTTTCCTAACATGTAGTCATGCTCATTTAAATATTATGACTGGTTGCTGGGGATAAACGAGTAATAACCGTGTATTTCAAATACCTTTTACTATTTTCTCGGGTGTGGTAATAAAACGCCTTCGGCGACTTTAAATGGATTTCAACACTATTTGTGGTGTCGAAATTCAATCGCATAATGGATTGATCTGGCTAAATAACAAGCTCAAAAATTCGATCATTAAAGGTCAACCCACATCATATTAGAGATTCATGACATGTGTCTGTAAACTGAATAAAAATGACATCTTTTAGGCGTGATAGTGGTTTTCTCGTTTAAGCTATGTAAGACTATTTCAAGCAATAATTGTAAATTAGAGGTATTAGCAGTAACCAAGTAGTAAAGTTTGTTTTTCTGCTTTAAGCGTTAGGTTTATGTGTTCTTTGCGTGCCTTAAATTAAACAAAATGCAATTGTCATCCGACCAATCTTATTAATAACTTGTTATCATATTTTTTTAGAAAGACATTCAATTAGTATATTAGTATAAGATATTCGATTAGTAAATGTTCATTTATAATAGCACCTTTCATTAATTTTGTTGAACAGTACCAGCGAAACTCCAAACTTTCTGTCATGTTGAATACAACAATCGATGCTTCATGTTCACCAAAAAGGATAGAGGAATGATTGATGAAAGAGAAGCCAGAAATAACTGCAAAAAAATGGGCGGTAGACTTGCTGACATTTACGATGAATCTCATTTGGAGAAATTAGAAGCCTATTTGCGAGAATCGATGACAGAAGAAATAGAATTTGTATATTTCATCGTAGGAATGACGTATCGAAAACAGGTAACAATGAGATAAACAAATTTAATCTTGATTACTCATCATAGACTGTTTTTGACGCAATAAAAGACTTTTTCGAACAATGTTCTGATCTATTTCCATTACATTTCTCTTGAAACAATTTTATTAAACGGCTAAGTTTTAAGTGAGTCACAAAAACAGACTCAACAAAATGGTTCAGGTAACCTAATTTTTGATTTTGTGAAACGAAACGATTTGGTTTTCATGCTCAAGAACTTTTTTTTTATTTCTTAAATGTTTTTCAATCTGATCATACCACAAAAACCACAATTGATCACGTTCGTAATCTTGTTGATGGTTGTCAATGGACATTCATGCATAATTCCGATTTCATCAAACTGCAACCAAAGACCAGCTTTAGTTTCAACGTACAAATTAAACTGACAATTGTTCATTGCCAAAAATAAGCAACGTGGTGATTGATTGGTAATGCTGTGATATCTTTGCGGCATTTAAGCTCAATCAATGCGTATCAAAGAGACAATGCACGCCACACAATTCGTCACAAATTGGCAATCCTTTCCGAAGTTTTCAAGTTATTAACAGAATTTTCTGGTGGATTTTCGCCACAAAAAACTCCATATAACTATTCAAACGTACGTACGTAGGGGGCTATAACTGCACTCAAACTTGAACATTATGTGCTGCAGTGCAAGGAAATATAATATTGGAAATACTTTCTACAACCTTTGTACGATGTACTGTTTTTCAATTCATCATCGAACAGCGCCTCGATTAAGTCTTACGGCGTGGATGATTATGGAATATTTTACATGATAATCGGATTTCTGCCAAACCATAGTCTTTAATCTTAGACTGATCCTAGTTTTGTCTACATTCAGACTATTTCAAATCCTTGTGGTTTATAAACAATGACCGCAAAGCCGATGGAAAATGTTATGTGAAAATTAAATATTTTGATTTTTGTGATATTTATATCCCTTCGTAATCTGAACGCATAATAACTGACCTTGTTTTAATGGTTTACACATTTTGAATATTTAAGAGACAGAACTATTTGTGTGTCTCGAAGAGATTTACTGTATACGATCAAACTGAATTATTATATATATGTAGGACTTGCACTGTTATTTATCTTTGCAGGGCAACGGCGTAAACAAATCGGATGGCACGAGGTCACGATTCGTAAAATGGTATTCTACGAGATTTCCTTCACCGGCGTCTGGCAACAGTCAAATCCAGATTCAAGTTAACAGGGATGTTGAAATGGAAAGTGGAATGTTCAATACGTCTCCTTTCTCTAAAGCAAAGAGTGCTTTGTGTGAAAAATCGCTGGAGTCTCCTCCACGATGAGGAAAATAATCCAGTGTCCAGATAAAGTGATAATGTGAATACAAACGATAGACGAACAGATTCGGGCAAAAATGAGAACAAAATGTATTTCATTTACTATACATTAATGTAAAAATAATTTTTGCTTTTTGGGCAAAAAATTGCGATGATGTATAATTTACGATACTTGTATAATTGTAATGTTTACACGATTACAACTCATAAACTATTGAATATAATTTTATACATATATATGCTGCAAGACACATTGTATTATTGGGATCTGCAATGCCCTCTGTGGCGGTGTCACGGTATAGTACGTAGGTCGTACATGTATTCGGGATAGTTATTTCAAAAGGTGTCAGCAAGCTATGGGGACCGGAGAGAAAAATGCAGCACGTGCCATCAGATCAAAAATACGAGTACTCATATTGTTTGTTCCAATCCATTCATTGGCCTAGTTGTATAACAGAGTAAAAAGATCATTCATGAAGGCAGCATGAAGACAAGAAATCAATAAACTACCTTGTTGCGTACCATTGTGGATTGATTGTGAATGAGTCGAACACATTGTTTCCCCTCTAAAGAATACGATTGACTGCGATACGCGTACACAATAAGCGATAAAGTATCTTTGGAACTCTTCTGTTGATTAATTCAGATAGACCGATAAGAAGGATCAATCGTATGGACCTTTCCCTCCCTTTTCGCATCCGTTCAGACACTTTTATCACTCAGACAGATTTTCAAGCGTGGTCGTAAACATTACCTCGTTTTCGTGTTTTTGAACTCTATTCGTTAGTTTTCAGTTGTGTTTCGGAAACTTAAATATAAATCAGATAATTCAATGATTACTCTGTCTTCCTAGGAGTTTTAATTTAATTGCAGTAATAAAAAATTAGTGTAGAAATAGCTGTGATAGACTAGGCTAAAATTCTTTACCGGTACTTTCAAAAAACAGATTGCTGTATGCGATGATTCATAATGATGGTTTAAAACACATACCTCATTTTACAGGCGCCAACTCACAAAAGCACTCTTAAAATAGCCCCGAAAATTTTGCAATGGTGAAGTATAGGAAGAATTTTTCGGGGGTCAAAGGTCGGGGAAAGGTCCATGGTGTACCACGCCTCTCCTTCGGTTACCAGTCCATGTCGCGTATGGGAATAGTTAACCAGTTATTGGATATGAAATTGGGTGGTTACATGGGTCGTAACCCCGCCGTTTGAGAAAATTTTCGATGTGAAATTCCGTCTACAAAAACGCAACAGCGCAGTTTTACGATCGCGCATCGTGGTTTCGCGGACAATACGATATTATTTTGTGCGTTATCACCGTAACGCGATTAACACTGCCGCCTTTTTTCGTTTTCACGATATGTTATCTTTTTTATTCCGCGCTGATAATGATAAATAAGAATGTGTAATTGTTGATTGTAATTCCGGAAAGCGTATTTTCCTTTCTCTCCGGGAAACAGACATGAAACGAGTTTAGCCGCCGCTATGGGCGCTCAAAGGGAGAGAAGGTTATAAGCTAATTCAAGGACTTTGACTCCGTCACTTTTATTAATACAAATCACAGCGCATTGAAAAGCAAAATAGATTTTATTTACATTAATTCACAACGAGTTACGGGTAAGAATTAACCGACGGCTATCACTAACAGGTGGAAACGATAAATGAGAAACGAGTTTGCATAAAGTGTGTCAACACCGTTTTTGTAAATTCAGAAACGTTGAAACAGATAAGTAAATAATGTATTTTATGGAAATTTCTCAACATAATTATCATTTCGACCACGTGGAAATGTTATTATTGCCGATTTATTCACGTGTTTAGTATTAGTGTTTTAACCCAAAGCTGAGATACGTCAATACTCTACACTGAGTAATGAAGAGATTGCCGATTTAATACGAAATTAACACGGACACGATCTGAAATTAAATCATAGAAATGTCAACTACCCGCTTCACAAATATCACATCCCGTGGTCAGTAATAATAACATTGTTCGCTTGAAAATTGGGACCGTAATTTACAAACTGGGGTACAAATCCTACACAGAAGATGAAAATCAGAATAAAATTAATTTGTGTTGTGAATGCACTCCTTAAATAGTTGTCATTTTAACATCTTCGCCGATGTGAACTCACAATTCTGTCCGAAATATAAAAACCAAACTACGATATCCGCTGTTGCGTGAGAATTAATATTTGTTAGTGAATAAAAAGTGCTTTAATATAGTTCAATAACATTAATTGGAATGTCGGCCGCCGAAACGATCGGGTTGACAAAAAATTTACTGCAGCCTTCGATTGTGACAAAATTATGAAATAAAAAACGCCGCATTGTTACGGAGTTTTCAGTCTTATATAGTTTAACAACATTAACTAAATTGTCGGCCGCCGAAACGATCGCGGTGACAAAAAATTTACTGCAGCCTTTGATTATGACAAAATTATGAAATGAAAAACGCCGCATTGTTACGGAGTTTTCAGTCCTCTAGTAAAATCCCCAAAAACGTTATTTATTGCCACGGCGACTTCAAAATCAACTTCATTAACTATAACGGCTCAGCACCATACGATGGCGATGTGCTCGTTAGGGTGATTGGAATAAATAGATCGAACAGGCACTTTATTTTTGATGACGCGGTACTGTCTGAGTTCCTTTGAAAGTTCGAAATGATTGTCCAAAGATGTTTATTGTTGAGTCAAAATAGTAGTCAAATAATGATAAAATGGTTGTCAAACAGTAATCCGGTAAAATACAGTGCTATTACACAGGAGGGACCAATAATAACTACAAGCGGCTCACGCTGAAAGAGCTCCCGCCAACACCAAAATGGTCAGGGTTCAATGCCCTAAGTTACCTTTGCCAGTTTAGTTACAATAATAGCGGTCACTGTTTAGAATCATGGCCGCTACATTAACAATAAATTTCAAGTAATATTTTCACATTTCATGAATTTGATCGGCGCTACATGCGAGCGTGTTTTTGTAGATATAAACCATTATGACGCTACTTTCATCTGTAAGTTATAGTTCTCTTCAAAATTAATTTTCGCGATTTTCAATGTTTTATTTCTAAATGCGGGTACCCACTGACTACGGATTAATGGTCTATGTTTGAACAAACACCGTCAGGCAAGAGAAGCGGGCTTACACGTAACTGTGAAATTTCGCTGTGAACGACGCATACATTTTAGTTTATCAAACGCGTTACGTCGTCGTGAATTGCACTTTCGGTGCAATGTTTATTTTCACCGTAACCAATGAATGATTCTGCGTTTCATTCTAATTATTAACGTAAAAGTATTTATTTTTGACTGTGAAAATCACAGTCGGAATATATATATATGGGTGTTAGCCCGAGCAACATTCTATGATATACCAAAATTAGGTTCAGTTGTTGCATCGGATTCCTTGCCAAATTGTATCATAAATTTCTGCCATGTGGTGTTAATTATGTGTGAGAGGATTGCTAAACTCCTATCCAATGTAGGGTGGTTAACGTAACCGCTGGTCGGTAACGGCTTCCTCCACCATCACGTCCATGCATCTGAAAACGATTAACTGGCTAACTAATTTCATATTAAACATTGCCATATGATTAACCCGACATATTGGCTGTCCAGGATAAATATGTGAATCCTATCTATCACGGCATACCGCCAACACAGCAAATATCTTGCGAGCCGCATTAAATATCTTGCGAGCCGCATGCGGCTTGCCCACCGTTGCTATATCAGATTGATTTCCTAAAAAAAGCATGGGCAAGGAGCCTGGGTGACCTGACCGGTTTTGCATACTGGCCCTCACTAATAATGATCAGATAATGATCAACCAATTATAGTTAATTATATTTTAGTCTGTTACTCCAAATGTATCATAGTGTTGACATTGTTTGTGATAATAGAATTTCTCTCTCTCACCGTTTGAAAACAATAGATGTATCCCAGGACATCGATTTTCTTATTTATTTCCGTAAAAAAAATCAGCAATAAATTAACAATGACGTAACAATTGGAATTTATGCTGCCGCTCAGACAGCTCTTTCGCTCAGACATTCAAGCGTGGTGTAAACATTGCCTCGTTTTGCGTGTAATTTGCCAGTCTCCAGTTCTGAAAAATAGTTGTAAATCAAACAAATTAATTGTCACTGTGTCTTCCGAGTACCTTTAGATGCGGTGTGGCGCATCGTGCTAAGCGTTAGGAATACGCTCGCCACCGCATCTCTGGTTACCCTTCACGGGTTCGCAGGTTCGAATCCCATGCGGGGATGATCATGTGCGAGAGGATTGCTGGACTCCTCGTCGCCGTAGGATGGTTCACGTAGCCGCTGGTCGGTTACGGCTTCCTCCGCCATCAAGTCCATGCTTCCGAAAACAAAATAACTGGCTAATAAATCCCATACCCGACCTGGACTGGTAACCGGACGAGAGGCCGTGGTTCGCCATATGATCATTGACACCTTAACAGTGGATCAAAATGACCATTGTTATGCTGCAGATAGTAAACGCTTGACTGATCTTCTGTTCCGTCGCATTTCTTGTCGGCGAATGCATGGGAATTAATGGATGAAGTGACAACCATACTTTGTAAAAATTTAACGTTTTGAAACACGATATGTGGGATATTTGATAGTAATAGAAAGTTTGTAACTTCAGCTCAATGATTTAGCTAATAAGGACCTTGATGATAATAGGTGATCGTAAAAATCGATTGCTTTTCATAGGATGGATATCCCAACAATTTCCGTGTCCAAAGCTTGCGAAATACTTATCTTAAGCATGATTAACCTAAATTTGGCATATTGTCCCGGCACAAAATGTCATAATAAAGGGTCGATTAGACTCGCGTTACAATACACACTTTCAGTGGCACAGCCAAGATTTTCAAAGGGGTGGGAAGATCAAAATTCGGAAATTTCCATGAAATGGGTCCTGAAAAACATTCGCCGAATTACGCCACTCGTAAAAATAGTCGGATCTTTTCAAATTGTCAACATACGGAAGGTCGAAAACTTGAACACCGCGTGTAGTGTAATTTGAGATTAATTTAATGCAGTGCTTGAATCAGGGATGTCCAATTCGAAGGTAATATTTGAATATCGCGACCTTCGAATATCGTTTTTTCGAGTTTATAAGCGCACATATCCTAGAGCCGCGGTCCATGTTCCGATTAAAAACATTTTACAAATACTTCATTTTTATCGTAATCGGAGGCAGCCGTGTACGCAAGGCAATAAATTACAGCCGCATG